AGCCAGGCCCTGTGCGCTGTCCTCGCCCTCGCCCCTGGCCCCGGCAGCCCGCGCGGGACTCCTTTCGTTTCAAACACTTCACATTCTCATCCTTTCGAATCCAAGTAGTCCTTTTATTCTTTTTAAAGTAGAAATGAAAGTAGTTTTCATGAATTAGAAGACTTTCACATTAAACCATCTCATGTTTCACGTTTCATGCTTATTTCTGAAACAACTTAAAAAAATAAGTTTAGTGTTGAAAAAAATAACTAGGGCGACACAAGGGAAGTCGCTGTCCCTAGAGTGGGAGTCCCCAGGACCCTATGTCCCCGACTTCCGCCCAGCACCCGTGCCATGCAACAGCCTAGCAAAATCCCGGTGGCGAGAGAACCACAGAAGGGGGAGGAGCAGCTTCCTGTCCTGGATAAACCTAGGACCCTGTACCTGATCGTGGCGACACGCGTGGCTTCATCAGAAACGCTCACAGCCTTCTTGCAGTTGGTGAGCAGACAGCATGGCGTGCGCGCCCGCACGGATTTGCAAGCGTGTGAAGGAGAGAAGGGCGAAGGTGGAGTCCAGGTGTGGCACGTGCCCCACAAGAGACATTTGGGGCAAAAGTGTTGGTGTGAGACTAGGAAAAGGCAGCTATTCTGGAACTTTTTAACCCCTTTGCCAGGGAGAAGAAAGAATGTTACCCGTGGAAATGTATCGGCTCACCTACTCGCGGATCACCAGGGCTTTAGGAAGCTGTTGTTTCCAACAGAAAAACTGGGCTCGAAATGAGCACACGCAGCTTTGGGGACACTGCACTAACCCAGGCTGTCCTGTCTTCAAATTTCAGAAGTTTACAGAATAGGTGCTTTGCATTCAAAGTGGCCAACGAAATAAAATAGCTCCTGAAGTTATCCGAATGCACTTTCCCCAGCAGGAACCTGCAATGTGAGCCCTGGAGCAGACTCCAGGTTCACAGACCTGCCACCCGCTTTGTTTTGTAATTGAGATGTATTTGCCATACGCCGTTGTGCGGGCTTAGGGCGTACGAGGTATTTGATACGTTGTGCCACAGCATGCGTGCCACTGGAGGGTAGCCAACACTCCGGCAGCGGGCGGAGGCCGGCCGGGGACTGGAGCACGGGGAGATGTCGCTTCCAGAGGAGTCCGCAGAGAGGCGGGGTTGACATGAGAGGTGTGGAGGGGGCCTGGGGCCCAAGAGAAGGCAGGGCGGCGCTGGAGGTGGGAGAGAAACCCCTTCCCTTGTGAGGGTACCTGGGCTTCTCCCACCCACGCACTCAGCTGAAGCAGGTGGGCCCCAGGGTCTGCAGTTGACATCTGGCATTGGTCAAAAAAATGAATGAATATCTTCGGTTTGGTGTGCCAACATTGACATTCTATATTCAAATGTTTCCAATTCTGTACATACTACAGAAAAAGGTCGTTAAACACATAATGCTACATCTTCAAGAGGTCAAAATGAGGATTTAGCTGGTTGTGCGACAGTGCCCCGTGACAGGAATGATAGAAATCACGAGGTTAGGCATGCAGTGGATGTGTGAAGTCCGCGCCTTGCACACACAGATCCCATGGAGGAGGAGGGCCTCTGGGTGCAGTCACAGGTCCTGGCTGCCTGACCCGCCCCCCTCTTCTTGCTAAAACAGAGGCTCCATAAAGCCTGTGGACACACACCATGGGCACCATGCTTCCTAGTTGCTGCAGAAAGCCTAATTTTGCAGTTTATCACTAAATGCCACATTTGCTCAGCATGTAACACGATCTCATGCATAGAGGCTTCCATATGTCTTGGTTGCTGCAAAATTATTCTTTAATAAAAAGGTACGCTTTGTGGTCTCTATAACATTAACTTGGTGCACCATTTCCTCCATTGCCGCAAGCACCGGGAATGTCATTTGTCACAGCTATTGGCCAATTGTCGGCGTTTGCTCACCCTGCAGCCGAGTTCTTAGTGTTTCAGCACCATGGGTCTCGCCCCACCAGGAAATGTTTGCAGCTGCCACTTGTCAACAATACTGTAATCACCACTGTCTCAATGTGTAAATAATCATCATGCAACATTTTTGTATACAAGTGTGTCTAGTCCTGGGGAGAGGCTGAGAAGTGAGGAAGTTTACAGTTGGCTCCTCCGACCCCCGCAGAGCCGGTGGGGACCCAGGGAGACAGGGAGGAGGAAGCCAAGACATGCCCTATTTTGGGAACGTCACCCAGGGGCAGAAGCTTCCAGCAGCCCTGAGTCTCACCTCTTGGTGGAACTGTCCCAAGGCAGGGCCCTCGGCCACAGCACCCCGCTGGGCCTGCTCAGTGCAGCCTCCACATCCTGCTCCAGGGCCCCGGACCTGTCCTCGGGACCTGGCCAGGGACGCCTCCACGCTCAGGGCGGGGCCTCCTCCGAGCCTTGCTCCCAGGGCCATCTCATGCAGTGTCCTGGGAGGCCAGATCCTGCTCTAAGGCACGGCATCTTTTGCTGCCTCTAAACAAGAGAACTCCCCAGGAGAAAAAGGCTCCCCATGTGACATGCTACCAGGACATCGGGCTGAAGGTGGCTGCCCGCCAAGGGCCCACCAGCATCTCAGCACAGTGCCTCATCAGGGGGCTTGTGCTCTGAATGGCTCCAAGCAAGCGGGGCCTCCACTGGCCACTGCCCCCAACCAGCAGGCACCCACTTCCTGCAGAGGCAGCAACCTCCCCCTCCACAGCCAGCCCCTGGCCCCCCCACCTCTGGAAGGTGGATTTCGTGTCTGTCAAGGTGCCCCCTCTTTTGGGTACAGGCTGTTCTCCCTCGTTTCCCACCTTTCATCTGTCTGCCAGAGAAGCCGAATTGTGGGGTGGGAAGGACGGCTAGGACTGTCTTCTCTGGCAGCTGGGGTACCCCCTGTCCAGAGATAAGGCCAGGACCAAGACTGCAATGCCAGGAGGCGACTAGGGTTTGTGAGGCCACCCTCGTCACTCCCTGCACCTTCTAGGCTCAGATTCTCGCAGGACACCTTGGTAGTGGGTGAATGAAAATTGGGGTGGTTTCTCCTCTATCAGGTAGCTGACGACTTGGGGAGCAGTAGACCATGGCTTGGGGATGGGGAGGGACACCTTGGGGCCCCACCCCAGTGTGTATGGGGGGGTCCTGGATGTCGGGGAGCAGGGGTTGGCGACCGTCCAGTGTGGAGCAGGAGGTCCGGGGGCTTGCTCTTGGTTTTAAGGTTCCTGGGTGAACCACTGCCCAGGTGCTGTGACAGCTGTTTGGGAGTGCAGAGCGTGTGTGGAGGTGGACAGGGTCCAGGACACTCTCCTGGTTGGTCAGCGGCCGCCCTCTGCAGAGCAGGCTGCCCGAGGGGGAGACCTCAAATTCGGGCTCAGGCAGCGGTCCACGGGTGCGGCTGCCAGCTCCCCTCTGCTGAGTGTGGCTAAGGCGCTGGGTCGGAGGTCTCATTGTCCGCCGCGTTGCGGGGGGACGGTCTGCCCATCTGGCCGAGGGTCCGGTGGCTCGCACTGCTGGCCCCCACGGCCCCGGCCCCAT